GACGATGCTGTTTAATATGATAATTGCAATGATAATAATGATACTAATAACAGTAATGGTAATAACCACGGCAACCTAACATAATAAAAATCCAAAGAACATGTCATCACTATATTCGAACCTCAAAGCCTAGAAAAAACGTTTTCCTTCTTCTAATGAGCATATCCTTCCTCCCCCCCCCTTCCTCCCTGCTCACCCCCTCCCCATCGCCCCCTTCACCCCCCCAGCGCGTCAACCACATCCTGACCCCCAGTGAGAGGATTGGCAGCAACCTCACCCGCTACACCTACCTCGTCAGGATCCCCCCCAGGTTCCCCCAGGGGCGCGACCAGTATTCCGTGCTGCCCTACATCCTGAAGCGAAACATTAAGGTAAAATAAAAGAATCGTAAGTTTATCATAAGAATAGCCTTTTTCTCATATATTTTGGTTCATGTTTTTTGTTTTAGAATTTCTTCATATGTTTATGAGAACATTATTTTTTCTCTCACTATTTGACTCATGATTTCTGTTGAATTCTATTTAATGTCATGTATGTATTGTCACATCTTGTATCTGTCTCATGTATTGTTGAAGGCACACATATAGAAGTACACAACCACACACAGTAACCTATAGACACACAGAGAAGTACATAAACACACACAGAAGTACATACACACACACAGCAACCTATAGACACACACAGAAGCACACACACACACAGCAACCTATAGACACACACAGAAGTACATAAACACACACAGAAGTACACACACACACACGGCAACCTATAGACACAGACACAAGTACACACAAACACCCGCAGTTACTGACACAGCCCCACCGTGCCTCTTCCCCTTCTGCCGGCAGCCCCCCAGCGACCCGAAGACGCGCGTGGTCCTGATCTCGCGGCTCCTGACCCGCCGCTACAGGCTGTGGTCCACCTCGCAGATGGTCAGCGCCAGGATCGAGACCTCGAGGCTGTCCTCCAAGGCCTCCTCGACGACCACCCTCTCCGGCGCCCCGAGGATCTCCGCGGCGGGCATGAAGGTCATCAAGCAGTTCCACCTGCAGGATCTGCTGAAGAAGCAGGAGCAGCGCGCCGCCGTGGAGGCTGCCAAGCTGAGGCGCTCCAGAGGACACAGGAAGGTGGGGGACTCTTGCTGTTTTTGTCATTGGTGTCATTGTTGTTGTTGTTATCATCCTTATCATCATTATTGTCATTATCATTAATATTATTGTTGTTATTATTGCTATTATTATAATTATCGTTATCAATATCATTAACGGTATTACTATTAGCATTGCTATCATTATTGTCATTATTATTTCGTAATGTTTTTCTGCTAATTACGCTCATTCACCTACCTGATCCTCAATGAATCAGTTGTTTGTTCCATTATGACCATAAATAACTGCATCATAATGACCTTACTTGATATTTATGAATCGCTGTTGTATGTATAATCATGAACTTATATAGTATTTATGAATCAGTGTAGTTTGCGTAATGTCCCTAATTAATCCTTCATTGATATTCAAAATTAATGTAATGAATTAAAGTAATGAATGAATTGCGACCTTAATTAGCAATTATGAAAGTGTTTGCGTGATCATGACCTTCATTAATATTCCTAAATTAACGTTGCACGCATTTTGGATCCCTCGATTGACCTCTCCGGCCCAGGTGGTCAGGCGCGCCTCTCCGGCCGTGAAGTACCGCGAGGCCTCCCAGCTGTGCGGCCTCGAGGACCAGCTGGAGGAGCAGCGGGAGGAGCGCGCCCGGAGACCCCAGCCCTCGGAGCGCGACCTGGCGAGGTGGGCGGCCTTTTGGGTGTCGTGGGCGGGGTGGGGGTGGGTGGGGGGCTTTGGCCAGAGACGGAAGGGGGGGAGGGGGGTATGATGGAGGGATTTTTTTTTTTTTTTTTTTTTTTTTTTTTTTTTTTTTTTTTTTTTTTAGCTGTCTGTCTGGCTAGATGTGTGTAGGTTATTTATACGCATTCACACGCGTACACGCACGTATATATATATATATAGATATAGATATAGATAGATAAATAGATAGATAGATATAGATATAGATATAGATATATAGATAGATAGATAGATAGATAGATAGAAATAGATATAGATATAGAGAAACAGATAAATTAATTGATTGATTAATTGACTCATTGATTGATGGATAGATAGATATATAGACACATTAACACACACACACACACACACAAGCAAATTGCAATGAAAACATGAACTTTTCCAAACAAACATGTTAATAAATGATTCCAGTAACGACAAAAGTAAGAAAGTTTGTGAAGACCCATTTCTTATTTATTAATACTTTCTCCAGATCCAAAGAGGTGAAACACAGCTGGTAGTTCAAAACCTCTATCTCACTTTCTTATAAAACATTCTTATGTCTACCGTCTCTTTCTATCAACACTATATGCGCAATCATAGGCCTATACAATTTTCCTCAACTTTATGGTGTGGATTCCAGTCATACTGTTACAGCCTAACCGTATGTAAATATGTAATATAGTATAGGCCTAACACATGATATGATATGCTATAAAAACACCATATCTTTTAATACCATTTTGAAAATTCATTCTGAGGTGAGCTACGCAAGGTATTTTGAATATTTGTGTTCAAATATAGGATCTATTCAGCGTAAATAGTGTATTTACTCCACATGCCTCTAGTATACATAATTATGCTTACTATTCAGATGCAGTGTAGTGTGTGACGTTACTGGCAAAGCGTTCTTATAAACAACTGTCGGATTAAAAGTATGTTACACCTGTTAGTAACAAGCTCTACGCATTTGCACTAATTATTGTTACTATACAGCTATACATCTGTACACACAGAAAAAATACATACATGAATTACACACGCTCACACACAACCACACCACACACACACACACACACACACACACACACACACACACACACACACACACACACACACACACACACACACACACACACACACACACACACACACACACACACACACACACACACACACACACGTATTTATCTATCATGTGGGATCAAGGAGATTCAGAATCCATTTATATATTATTTAAGGCCAAAGAGATTCCGATTCTTGTTTTTTCTCGTCTTGAGCTTCAGAATCCACTTAATACCAAAGATATTAATTTTTTTCTTCACCTCATTATAGATCAAGCAATTCAAAATTAATTCATATATCCTTTCATACCAGAGATATTCAGGTTTATTATCATATTTGTCATTAGAGATCAAGCGAATTAAAAATCAGTATATATATCCTTTAATACCAAAGAGATTCTTTATCATCACAGATCAAGAAGATTCAAAAATTGATTTACAAAGAGATCAGAATTCTTTATCATTATAAAACAAGCAACTTCAAAACCAAGTTATATATCCTTTCATACCAAAGATATTCAGGTTTATTATCATATTTGTCATTAGAGTTCAAGCAAGTTTATTCTCACATTTATCATTCTTATATATCCTTTCATACCAAAGATATCAGGTTTATTCTTTATAATCATAGATCAAGCAAATTAAAAAAAATATTTACATCTTTAATATTAAAGAGATTCAAGTTTATTCTCATATTCATCATTAAGTTATATATATTTTCATACCAAAGATATCAGGTTTATTCTTTATCATCATAAATCAAGCAGATTCGATATTCGTTATAAATTCCTTAATACCAAAGATATTCATGGATCTTTATCATTATAGATCAAGCAGATTCGAAATCAATTTATATATCCTTTGATACCAAAGAAATTCAAGTTTATTATCATATTTGTTATTAACTTATATATCCTATAAAATTAAGGAGATATCAGGTTTATTCTTTATCATCATAAATCAAGCAGATTCGAAATCAATTTATATATCCTTTGATACCAAAGAAATTCAAGTTTATTATCACATTTGTTATGAACTTATATATCCATTTAAAACTTGTATATCTATAACTTGTATTTTTATAACTTGTATATCCTTTAAAATTAAGGAGATATCAGACATTCTTTATCATCATAAATCAAGCAGATTCGAAATCAATTTATATATCCTTTGATACCAAAGAAATTCAAGTTTATTATCACATTTGTTATGAACTTATATATCCATTTAAAACTTGTATATCTATAACTTGTATTTTTATAACGTATATCCTTTAAAATTAAGGAGATATCAGGTTTATTCTTTATCATCATAGATCAAGCAGATTCGATATTCGTTATAAATCTCTTCATGGCCAGATACGCTCACTACCTGGTAATCCCAAAGAAATTCAAGTTTATTATCATATTTGTTATGAAATATGCCCATTAAAAATAAGGAGATATCAGGTTTATTCTTTATCATCATAAATCAAGCAGATTCGAAATCAATTTATATATCCTTTAATCCCAAAGAAATTCAAGTTTATTATCATATTTGTTATGAACTTATATATCCATTTAAAACTTGTATATCTATAACTTGTATATTTATAACGTATATCCTTTAAAATTAAGGAGATACCAGATTTATTCTTTATCATCATAAATCAAGCAGATTCGATATTCGTTATAAATCTCTTCATGGGCAGATACGCTCACTACCTGGCCCACGGGATCAAGACGGCGCAGATGACGTCACCGCCGGCCAACCTCCTGAAGGTGGTCACGATGGACGTAGACAAGTCGATGCTGAGGAACATCCGGTGGGTGGCTGAGCTGTGGCCTTGTGTTCCAAGTTGTGTTGCCTTTTTTATTTTATTTTTGTGTTTTAGTTTTTATTTCATGTGTGTGTTTATTTGCTATGTTATTATGTTTTGATTTAATTGTTTTTTTTTTCCGTTTTTCTTTCATTCTGCTTGGCTGTGGCCTTGTGTTCCAAGTTGTGTTTCCTTTTTTATTTTATTTTTGTTTTCTATTTTTTAATATCATGTGTGTTTATTTGCTATGTTATTATGCTTTGTTTTAACTGTTTTCTTCTTTTTCTTTCATTCTGCTTGGCTGTGGCCTTGTGTTCGAAGTTGTGTTTTTTTTTCTTATTTATTTATCTATTATTTTTGTTTGTTTTATGTGTTTTTATTTGTAATATTATGCTTTGCTTTAATTGTTTTTTTTCGTTTTTCTTTCATTCTGCTTGGCTGTGTCCTTGTGTTTTTTTCTTATTTATTTATTTATTATTTTGTTTTGTTTTATGTGTTTATTTATTTGTAATGTTATTATGCTTTGTTTTAATTGTTTTTTTCCTTTTTCTTTCATTCTGCTTGGCTGTGTCCTTGTGTTCCAAGTTGTGTTTTTTTCTTATTTATTTATTTATTATTTTTTGTTTTATGTGTTTTTTATTTGTAGTGTTATTATGCTTTGCTTTAACTGTTGTTGTTTTTTCGTTTTTCTTTCATTCTGCTTGGCTGTGTCCTTGTGTTTTTTTATTTATTTATTTATTATTTTTTTTTTATGTGTTATTTATTTGTAATGTTATTATGCTTTGTTTTAACTGTTTTTTTCTTTTTCTTTCATTCTGCTTGGCTGTGTCCTTGTGTTCCAAGTTATTTTTATTTATTATTTGTTTTATGTGTTTTTTATTTTAGTTATTATGCTTTGCTTTAACTGTTCTTTTTCGCTTGGCTGTGTCCTTGTGTTCTGTTATGTTTTCATTTGTTTTATGTGTGTATTTATCTTATGCTTTGGTTTAACTGTTTTATAATTCTCTTTCTTTCCACTCGGCAAGTTATGTTGGATTTTTTTTATTTCCTGTGTGTATTTATCTACAATTATTCTTTGATTTTACTGTTTTCTCCTTTTTCTTTCTTTATCTTAATTTATTTTCACCTTACTGGCTTTGTTTTCTTTGACTTTTGCGTATGAGTTGCAGTATGTTTATTTCTAGTGTTTTATATCTATTTCTATGCTTTATTTTTACTAATCTATTTCCTATCTTTATTCGTGTGTTTTTTTTATAGGTTTTTAGTTTAATGTGTTTATTCAGAGGAGGACATTGGCCCCTGGAGTGGTTAATTGCATCCACCACACCTGAGGAACACGAAATACAGAAATATGTGAATAATTTAGGCAGAAATTTGAATACGGCTGTGCTAGTATTTACTGCAAAATCTATGCTATTATATTTATATATGCATATATCTGTTGTATAGATTTTCTGTCTATGTATGTGGAATAGCCTAGGTGGGCTGCTTACTATTATTATATTTGCAGTAGTAATTAACTTTGAAAAATACTAGTGTGTTCACAAATGCGTGGAAATGCCTTTGAAATGCCAAAGAAGAAAAAAAGTATAAGCAAAAGAAATAATCAATACGGGAATTACTTTTACTTTAAACTATATTTCTGGCGCCTTTTATATACATGCCCCCTCCCCCCCTCCCCCCCTCCCCCTCTTTTTTAAACCATCATGGATCCGCGATGGTAGCCATTTTTTTAATTTATTTTACTATTATTATTATTTTTGTGTCCTTTCTTATTTTTGTTCATGTACGAAATAATCATATTTGATCAACGTTGTTTCTTAGTTGTTAACCCAATCTGGTGAAACCAAGAAGAAAAAGAAGAAAATAGGGAATAAAAGGAAAAAGAGCAAAGTGAAGAACAAAGAGAAGAAGAAAAAGAACAAAAGATAAAAATGAAGCAGTTCCGGGGTTTCTAAGGCTCTTCTCCGTATATGATAATTTCCTCACATTTTCGTATTATTTTGGGCGGTTATTATGCAAGTGAATATTATTGCTTCCTCCTCTTTCCTCACTAATGCCACCCTTTACATGCTTTTAAATTAACATTATTTCCCCTGAAAACACAAGCCAAATTCCTCATGGTCCATCATAACACATAACTGCAAATTTACACTGAAAACTAAATGGCGGAAGTCAACCCATCTCAAATAAAACTACCGGCCGGGAGCAACGGTTATGGCGTCCCTTCAAGTGTCATCCGCTTCTCCTCAACATGGTTCTGCACCTTCGTCGGGGTCTAAAGGGAAAAGAGAAGCGAGAGAGTGTACTGGTTATATTATTCTTTCCAGTCGAGTCCTCCAAGAGATAGGTTTTCAAAATAGTTTGGGAGGACCGGCGGCCATCTCTCTTACTTTCGCTGAAGGGGAAAGAGCGACGTATGGTGGTTGTGGTAGTTAGGAAAATAAACTATTAATTCGGGTTTTCCCGGGTTAATATGTGTCAAATCCCGTTTCAAAATGTGCTATGACCCAAGCTGGTTATTATACACAGTCGACTAGTTTGTTTTTTTTTAGAGCTAATAAGATTTGTAATAGATAAAAAGGTAAGTGTAAACGGCAAAAGGGAAGTTTGTTGAATTTCAAATCAGTTCCGTCATGGCTTGGCTGTGTATAACGTGCTGTTTCGCCTTTACCGTGCAAAATATCATGGCGATAACGAAATAGAGCGGCGAATAATGGCCTTAATTCTAGCCAACAGCGACGACGTGGATTTTGACAACTCATAGGTAGGTCACACACACACACACACACACGCACAC